TCAGCTAATAATTTACCAATCATATTTTAACAAATTAATCAATAATTGTTGACCAGCTTGATAATTTATCAAAAAAGATTTTTTCTTGATCAGTCCTATTAGACCGATCAGTCCTAATTGGTCCAGTCCTAGGACCGGACTGGACCATCGTCCAGACTGAAACCATTAACATCCCTAACTCAAAATTTTAACAACAGTAGGAATAATGATCTGACCCATACAATAGAAAGTCTTGTTGACTAAATACAGTCAAACCTTTATATAATGATATGTCAGATATATATGAAATTTTTAGGAAATGTCATTATATCAAAGTTATACCGATATTTATATGTACTCATATATAGTGGAAAAATAAAATTTTATCGGTATATCGTGTTTTAATAGTATATCGGTATATCAAATATGGTATATCGAGGTTCAAATGTGATAACAAGTTATGTGAATATGTTTTTAATATACCAAGTTGGTAATTATGAGAAATTTTACTCATGTTTTTACTGTCTTAACATTATTTTATATGTTTTTCTTTTTCATTTTACTAAAGGTTGCAAAGAATTGCTGGAATACTTGTTGCATTTTCTACTCTCAAGATAACTAATAATGCTGGTTCATATGATATTGGTTGATTTAATTTCACATTCAGTTGGTCATAAATTTAGTGACCCTTTCTTCATTTCTTGATTTATATACTGATAATGCTAAAAAGTTATTCTTTTTTATTTTTCTATTTGCTAATCCCTGCTAAATTCTATTGCTGTTACTACCCATCATATTTCATATTCTTGTAAAATCTAATTATATATATAAATTATTTAATATGTAAATTTCATTTCACATTTATAATAAAGGTAATATTACCAAATAACTTAAATAACTTTGTATTTTTTTTGTAAATTAACACATTAAATAAAAGCTTTCACAATTTCTCTCCCAATCCTTTTCCCAGTAAGTTGATGAATTTCACTTCTCACAGTTTCAAATGCATAGTCCATAGTGTATCTTTTCTCCTATTAAATCAAAACTTCCCTCAATTTCTTCAAGATGAGTCATGAATCAGATGACCAGAAGAAGAGCCTGCGTGTGATTGGAGATTGATGCTTCAGATTGGTTCATACTTTGATGATTAAAACAATCTGAATCTGTAGGTAATTGCGTAATGTCAGACATTTCATTTAAGAGAGCTTCAATAGATCATTGAATTCAGATGAAATTCTGCCAAATCCATGATGGAAAGTTTCAAAAGTATTTAGTCTTATGGTCTGTTATTGATCATTGAAAAGATTTCTTGCACCTCCTTGGTGAAGTCTTCATTGCGTGCCTTAATTTTTCCGATTTCTGAGGTAAGTTTATTATTAATTTTGGCATAAATTCTATCGAGTTTCGCATATTTATTTTCGTATCATACACAGAGAGTTCATTGGTAACTTCGGTGATACAACTGATACATGACATTTGCTGGAAGCTTTGTCCATAATGTCATGGATCTAAAAGATGTGCAATTGACATGACCGGATGATATACTTTTTCCCCGTCTATTAGTTAGTATATCCTTGATCTTATTATTTACTTCTGGAAAAATATAATCTAATGGCCTGGTTGAAGACTTGTAAAATATACATGCAGTGATATTTACCATTTGATTCCAATTGCTCATAGTACAAAGATAAAATAATATCACAACGAAATACCAATGACTAATTTATCCAATATTAAAAGTAAATTCTCCATATCCTTCCAAATGATTCATCTTAAATAATATTAATAGATTCAGGTAATTTATTGTCATTATTATGCATTATTCAGTAATAACCAACTTGAATGCAAGTTGATTTTAGAGAAGTAAATTAAAGCATGCTGCTGAAGACCCCATCATGTTTTAACCAGATATTTAAGGATATTTGTTAGGACCCCGAAATATACATAAAAAGGTCAGATCCGAGTTTGCTTACAACCAGCCAAAAAAAAACATGAAAATCTTTCCTTTTTTAGATAATTCCCGGTGAAAAGATATTTCCTTTTTTGGTCACTCGCCAATATTATCATAATTCCGGCCCTGAAAGAATGCGTACAGCTATTAGTAAAAATTTTTTGGCTGCCTCTGACCTTTCTATATATATTTTGGGGTCCTTATTTGTTGTTGATAAATAACCGATTGGTGTCACTTAAGATTGCCGTTGGAATTTGGTGTGACTGAAACTATTGTATTTGCATTTTCTAAGATATTGGTACACCGTGGTAATTTCATAATATCACAAATTAAAAAGGTTTAGTTAAACTGTGTGCTATGTAAACTAAAAATATAACTTCAGGATACTTTAATTCTAATAAATGCCATGTAGAAGCATTGTCTATAATTATGGCTGAAATTTTTAATGAACTGACTTCAATTATTATTTTTTCTAGATTTTTGGCAATCGTTTCTTCATTTTGATGTGTCTTACCGGCTGGCAACAAAAACTGGCTTAGGAGTTGTTAAAATATAATTAGTCCAATGTTCTTGGACCATCCGTTAGAAATGAGACAGATTTTCACATCCATTAATTAAAGCCTAAACATCATGTTTTGTCTCATAAATACATGATCTAATAGTTTTGTAGAAAGTTTTTTTTTTTTTGGTTAGGCAATTTAAATGCTGGACGTGTTTGTTGCCACAATTCTTTAATTGGTTCCAACTCAGATAATGATAAAAATAAGCCACAACAAAATATTGATTTTGCAAACGCTAATTCAAGTGGTATCAGGACATTTCGCTGAAACCATTTCGCTGAATGGACATTTGCTGAGACATTATTTATTACATTTGTTTATTTTATTATTTTTATACTAAATATCATACAATTATTTACACCTATCAAGCCGCTTTCGATCATCAATTAGCTAGTCATTAAAGTGATATTATTACATCATGGACTATTAAACACCTCAAAGTTGATAGAAAAATATAAGTCGCCAGGTGGCGTTACAATAACAGTATATCAATTACAGTTTCCGATTTTCCGCGCATAAATTATGATTTAGAGTTAATAACACTTAAAATAAAAGGAATTTTTTGTTTAAACGTTTATTTAATTTTTATTTTTATTGCAAAAATAGGTGGCATGGCAAAAGAATGTAACAGAAATTAAAAAATAAAAGTATTAAAGTATTCAATCAAGAATCGAAGATATTATTCAACGTTTAAGTTTTATTTTATACACTTGTCATTTGTATATTCGAGTGTAAATCAGAATATCTATTAAGGTTCCTAATTTAATAAATAAATAAAAAATAAATAAAAAAAAAAAATTTTTTTATTTTCATTGCGCGATTAATATTTTTATAAAAGTGATGATCGCTATCATTTCTATCATTTTCGGCGAAATGGCTTCGGCGAAATGAAAATTCGGTGAATGGCTTCGGCGAAATGGCTTCGGCAAAATGGGTTTCGGTGAAATGTACCGTAACTAATTCAAGTGACTTTGTTCTGTTTTAGAAATGTAATCGTCTCTAGCTTTTGGTTCTGGAGCTAAAGTCGCTCATACTGTATGAGTCACCGAGACAACTTCTTTTTTGTGCCGATGTAATTTAATACGTTTTTTTAAATGATTATGTACAGATCTAAGTGACTTTATCCAATTACATGTTCTAGTTGCTGATTAAAATACGACCATAATGAATCTGGTAGTGGCATTATTGATAATAATTTTTGTAAAAATAACTTTATTAATTTTAAAATAATTTAATAATACAATTTAGATGAAAGATATTGTAAAATAAGTAAATAACTGATAGACGCGAAAAGTTTATTGTGTTTTAATGTTTTTTGTACATTTTGATGCGCAATTATGCACGTACATGAAGTAATTTAAGTATACACGTATTACAAAATTTATTGTGAGCGCCAGATATAATAAAACAGTCCAAAACTTGACGTGCGTCAGTTATCAACTGACGCAAATAATATTAATTAATGGTATGGACGTATGGTATAAGCGTTATTTTGACAATGGTTTTTCTGATTGGAACGTACTATGTGGTTACGACGTGTACTTGGCATATTTTAGTATTGTATTAAAACAAAATAGTTTATTACTTATCAATAACTTTTAAAGAGCATGTTTTAGGTTACTTTTCTTGCGTCCTTAAAAATTATTAACAATTATTATGAATGTATAGAGAAAAAATATGAAAAGAGAAAACGTTATCCATAATTGATTTTCTAGTATCATATCTTATTATTGTCAAGGGGTTCGTTCTCATTTAGGAGTTTAGCTATAACGGTTTTTTTTTGGTTGATCCATAAAATGGTAAATAATATTTAAAAAGAAATTATAATTATCAGCTCTATTTGTTAAATCCTTTAATGATTATAATTATGTGATTGTGATTTTTTAGTTATTTCATTACTTTTTAAAACTTCAAATTTACAAGGGAGACGTCATTACTTTTTAAACTTCAAATTTATAAGGGGGGACGTCATTTAATAAATAGGGCGGGTCAAGCCTATGCCGCAGTGTTGTACATTTTTGATGTCCGAAGCTTTTTTTGGTTGTCCCGGACATGCCCGCACTCTGTCCGTACTCTTCTGTAACTTAAAAACTCTACAAAAATTATATATATTTATGCATAATTGGATGCTAAACATTTTTGCTAAGTATCGAACAAGGTTATCATAGAAAAATTTCGAGGGGTTATCATTTCTTTTTTGTGTAACATGTCCCGGACATTGTCCCGTGACAACACTGCCTATGGTGATGAGGATTGATCTTTTTCTGGCCATTCTCTAAGAAGTTGAATAAATTGATTATAAAGAGTATTTCCATTGCATTTAATTATTTATTTTCGCCACAAGCTATGCACGACACCTGTACTAATATTTATACGTCTGAAAACACTTGTCACAATTTGCACTTACGCCACAACTGATAAGTTAAAAAAAAATTATATTTTTTTATTTAATAATTTATACAAAAATAAGACCAATTCCAAAATAAAAAAATAAAAATAAAAATCTATTTTTTTAATAAATAATATTTCATCATCACTTCTAATTCTTATTATTAATGACTTGAAATACTTCATATTCTTCCACATCAAATTTTGTTGTATCAAGAATTTTATTCTCATAATAAGTATGTCTACTAGTACATCTTAAGGATAAATTACTAAAATTAGGCATCCATAAATCATTACAACCAAAAGAAGGACCACGTACATCAGCACAAAATAAAGCCATACTATAATGATCTTGATGTATTCTACTTAATATAACTTGATTTAAATCCGTACCATCACCCAAATTAAATATAAAACTATTAGAAGTTTTAATCCATTTACCAAAAAATCCACTTTGCCATACAACAGGATTATAACCACCAACAATTTGTTTTGTATTTGCAATTTTCATTAAAACAATAGTAGCACCTTTATAATCACATAATTCATGAAATTTTTGTGATGTAAAACCATCTCTTGTTCCTCTCAATAATAATCGAAAATTATAAGATTCTTTACGACATAACCGTTTCGTATTATCTTGTCTATCTATCCATTTTGATATTAAAGCTGCATGTTTCCATTTAATTATAACTGAATTTATTGGATCAATTAATGGTACCCTTGAAATTGAACTATTATTACTAAGACAATTATTTTTTATGAGTATTCGTTCAAAAGGTTGTAATTCAATTGGTAATTCTCTACAAGAAATTAGATCAGTTCTTATTAATGGAACACAATTTTCTAACACGTTTTCTAAATCGATAAAATCATTTTCAAACCATTCATAAGATTTAAAAGTTAAAAAATTATCATCGTAATTCAAAAGTCTTGAATTATTAATTTGTTTAATTCCCCAATTAATAACATAATTCCATAATGACATTTCATCTAATTGTATTTCATCTCTTTTTAATATTTCAATTAATATTTGTTCATTAATATTTTTATCATAATTTTGTAAATCATCACAAATTATTTCTAAACAATAATTAAGTAATTTTTTACAACTATCTAAATATAATACTGTCGAATTATTTAATATTTCTATAGGATTTGATGATAACCAATCATCTCGATTTTCTAATAAATATTCTTGTGCATAATCACATAATTCTGTTAATATTAATTCATCTGAAGCAATAATTAAATTTATTATGAACATTGAATCATAATCATCTAATTTAATAATTCCACTATAAATATATTTTAATATACAGTACATTCAAATATTTTTGGTTCAATATTTGATTTTTCAAATAATATCATTCCTTCTTCATTACGTTTTACCCAACCGGTTGATAATGCGGAATGAAAATAAGGTGACCTTGCCCTTAATATACAACTATGAGCTTGAAATTTCATATAATCATCTTTATTACCAACTTTTATTATAACATTATAATCGTCACATGTAATTAATAATTTATTAAAATCTATTGATAATGAATTATAAAATATTCCAGTATTCATTCTTTATTAGTTTGATATGAGACGATAACTTTTTTGTTAAAAATTTTTTTTTTTTTTTTTTTCTTTTATGCAATACATGAAACAGGTTCTCACGACTCCCGAATTGCGTAACCGTTTCCTTTACGCACGTGATCATTACCACGAAAAATGTCACTGTGCATACCGCATGTGGCTGATGCAGATCAACATAATTATACATTATACGTTTACAAGAAATAAAATTTAAAAAAATGATTTTCGAAAGTGAAGATAATAATTCTTTAAAATTAATTCATGGAAAACAGTCACAGCTGATTTTAATTTTATTAAAAAAATACTGAATATTTAATTAATCAAACAATAAATATTTCCATATACCTGGCGTGCTTAATAATGGTATGATGTGAAGCTTCGCGCCACATCATATCAATTATTAAAGCCGCCTGTACATTATACTGTATACTGATATTTTTTTAGGTAAGCGTTGACATTTTTGACGCATTACGTCATATAGGTTAAATCTAATTTTTGTATGTAAAATACCTATTGTTACGTATATAGTTATTGGGTAAAATGTTCCCAATAACTATTATATATAGAGTAAACCTTTTCTAATATAAGTATAACTGATAGAGTTACATGTGATTCTCATTCACTTCTCTAAATGAAATTGGTTAGATTGAAAAATATTCTGCGCCTCGCATAGGCGTAATGTTACGTTTTTCAGTTAAATCACATGACGAATGACAGCACATTCACACGTGCGCAGTAATTCTATACAATCATAAATTCATACTAAGTTTTTGCTAAGCTAACAAGATAAAAATCAATATTTGAGTAACTCCATACCTGCTAGACAATTTTACTTGATCATTCTTGATCAGTTGATCCATTTCATTTAGCTAAAGTATTATAAAATTAGAAATAAATAAAATAATTTCATTAAATAAATATTTATTTTTCACAAATCTTTTTAAATACACAAAAAATTAATGAATTAATGTTATTCGTACTTTATTCATTTAACTAGTGATAATTGTACGGGTAAACGATAAATAAAATTAGAACTGATCTTCTGATTTACATGGTCATATGACCCTTTCCAAACACTGCATTTACCTGCAAGAATTACAATTTTCGTTTATTTGAAAAAAAATTTATTAATGAAATTTTTTAAATTTTCCAAGAAATTGTCCCTTACTAAAATTTGTCTTTCCTTTACTAAAATTTGTAAAATTTGTAATAGTTGTTCATTTTCAGAAAAAAATGTAAATACTACTGATATTAATAATATTAACTCAAATAATGAATCAAATAATTCTAATAATTTAAATAATAATCTTAATTTATATGAAAAAATGTTATCTTCTAAAGTATTTGGTTTTTGTCCTAAATGTAAAAAACCAAATTCACATTATCATTGGTGTAAAGATTGTTATTCTGAAATATTTCAAAAAAATTTTAGTAATTGGACTAGTGAAAATGTATTCATTGACAAATTTATTCAAAAATTACAATTAAATGCAAGAAATAGGTTTGAATTACTTGAATGGATAGTTCATGATCGTTTAAGAAATATTAAATTCTTAGCTCAAGGTGGATTTAGTACAGTTTATGAAGCAATTTGGTTAGATGGATTAATAGATAAATGGGATTATGAAAATCAAAAATGGGAACGTGAAACTGAAGAACTTGATGAACAAGTTAGAGATGTGATTGATAATAAAATTAAAAATCCTCTTAAAAGTGATGAAAAATATGGTTATTATGTGGTACTCAAATGTTTGGATAATTCATCAAATATGGATGATCATTTCTTAAATGAAGTAAGCAGTTATTATAGAAACTGTATTAATAATAATAATTATTTAGAGTAAATATATAACCAATATTTATTTATTTTTTTACAAAAATATACAGTGGGAAATACATCTACAATGCCAGCATAAAGTAACATCAAATGGATCTATTCTTGTCCCATTAATTGGTATAACGAAGGATCCGGATACATCAAATTATATGGTTGTAATGGTTAAATTACCTTTTGGTAGCTTAAGAAATAATTTATTATTAAAAAAATATAATCCAAATGATAAATATCATAATTTATTTTTAATTTCAACACAACTTGAAGCTATTCATGAGTTAAATTTAGTTCACGGAGATTTTCATAGTGGAAATTTACTCTGTCATGATCACGAATTAGTAACTATTAGTGATCTTGGATTATGTAGACCAATTGATCAACCTAATATAAAAGATGGTATTTATGGAGTTCTTCCTTATATTGCACCAGAAGTTTTGCGTGGAAAACCATATACAAAAGCTGCTGATATATATAGTTTTGGAATTATTATGTGGGAGTTGACATCAGGAGTTCCAGCATTTCATAATATTCCTCATGATTTAAATCTTTCTTTGGATGTTTGCAAGGGTATTAGGCCAGAAATTGTGAAAGAAACAATCCCTGAATATGTCGAAATAATGAAAAAATGTTGGGATAATGATCCCGAAAAAAGGCCAACTGCTAAAGAGTTAAAAAATTTTTTTTTCAAATGGATTGAAAAATATAAAATAGAAGAAGATGAAGAAAATAGAATACCTATTCCCGGTATTATATTTTTTAATTTTAGTTCATATTACTTAATGTCTTATTATTAATTACATTAATTTATAGATAATGAAGAAGTTAAATGTCATCCAGAATCTTACTACACAAGTAGAAAAATAGATTATTCGGATGAATTAAACCAACAATTTGAATTTGAATTAAGTAATAAAATTGTAATTACTGAAGATAATCATGATTATGAAATAAAAATGAGTGAAAGTTTAGGTATGTATAATAAACTTAATCTATTTTTATTTACTTTTTTATTTTTAATTTCAAAAAATTACAAATGTTTTTTTTTAAATATATATATAATCTAGCCGATTGTATGGTTAAGGATTATTGATTTTAATATTCTTTTTTTAATTTTTGTATATATTTGATAAATTATTAATTATCTTTTTTCCACAATTTTGTATTTATTAAGGCAAAAATTTATTAGTTTATTTCTTTATTATCGGTACATTAATTTTTTCAAAAATGTACAGTCAGACCTTGATATACCGATATTCGATATACTGATATACGAACTTGATCTAACGATGGAACTTTACTAATATAACGATATTTTCAAAGATTTTCAGATGGATCCTGACATATCGTTGTATCAGAGTTTGACTGTATGGTACAAAATTTCTGGCAGGTGATACATAAAATATTAATTTCATCACAAATATCAAACAAGAGTTACATTTTTATACTTCAATAATATTTCTGATTATTAATATGGTTTTCTTAATTGATATATAGCGAAATTCCTTTTTCAATTGATTATGTATCATCTTGAACCGGTATATTATTTGTATATACTGTATATAAGAACAATGTGGAGTACAAGTATATTGTTTAAATTTATAATAAAACAGTTATTGGATATAAACCGTATTATGTTGCCAATGATTTCAATACCTTTTGGTTTATTTATGTATGATAATTATGTCTAAAGATTTTGGGTGTGCTATAGTAGAGTATAAAAAAATTGTCATTATCATTATCAAGCAAATCTTGTGCAAGATTAATATAGATTATGTTAAGTGATTGTATATTATAACATATTTGAGATAAATGATAAAAAATTCGGAAGAAATATGTGAATTGCAGCGTAATTCTGAAAGATTTTAAGTAATCTTTTGTTCCGGGGTAGTATAGAGTAAAGTTATATTCGAATATAAAAATGAAGACTAAACTCTTTAAAGTAGAGATTTAATTCATAAGCATTTTAATATTTCTTGAGCCACTATCATATATTTGTTATTATAAAGACCTTGTGAAGTTGATTCCTAAGCAGACCACTAATTATGTAATGAATCAGATTAACAGATAAAACTTTACAGAATGATGTATAAGAAAAAAAGAGGTTTTGAAGTTGGAGATGAAGTAAATATTCCATTTTCATATAAAACTTATTTTGACTTGTTTGGGAGACAAACAATTAAGGTATTATAATTACAAACATTTCTCCAAAAGATTCTCACTGCAATCTTACACCAAAAGGTCCAACCATTTTGGTTAAAATTTGCAACTTGGGTTGATTCAAGTGTTGTACAGCATATGAACTTAATCGTACAGACCCTGGCGAAAAGAATGGCAGTCAATTTTTTAATAATAATTGCAAATTATAATAATAAATTATTAATATTTTTTTTTATATTCTGAAAGATGGACAAAAAATATAATATTTGATATGGCCTCCATTTGCATCAATACATGCTTTAATACGACGTGGCATGCTTTTAACGCAATTAATAATTACGGTATTAAGTTAAAAAAATTTTCTTTTGAAATATTTTTTTTTTTGTGTGACTATACTCTTGACCTTTTTCTCAACATTTTTCTTCAAAACAGCCCACATATTCTCAATAGGTTGAGATCTGGGCTATAGGAAGGCCAAGGAAGGATCCGACCTAGACAGATTAAAACCTTTTGAAGTTTGCCCCGTGGAAGGTGAGCTCTCAGATCATTTTGAACATCACGGGAAGTGTGTTTCGGGTCATTATCTTGTTGAAAGACCCATCGATTACCATGTACTTCATTTGCATTATCATATAAATCAGTCCTAGTTAAAACTTTTAATGGACCAATTTTGTATATCTATATAAATCATTTACCATTGACAATAACTTCAATCTTAAGATGACTTCATTTTTTTCATTTCAACCTTATCGACCCTAATATTAAATGTTGCTGTGTTAATATTCAAGTCAGTGAGAATAACAATACAAAAGAATTTCATGCACATTCAATAAATTTTACATTCTCGTTCTCCTTATTACAAAGGTACCTTTCATCTTGTTTTTATACAAAATTTATCCAGACAAGTCATAATGTACGCAATATCCGACATAATCAAGTATTAGGTATTAGAAATAGGGTTAAATATTTAGAGGTTGAAACTGGTTAAGCTCGTATTTGTTAATTTGACGCATGATTTAATCCAATAGCCAATCAGAATATATTGATGATTATAAATAAATAATGTAAAAGAGTAAGAGAAACCATCTAAAAATGTTTTATTATATTCACTAAATATATATTGTATTATAACTACAAAAACGAACCTTAAAAATCAAAATATTCTACAGTTTACAACAACCAGTAAAATGATGATTTCTGGGCAATTAACACTTAATCGTTTTATTGTCCTATTTTGTCTTGTTTATTATTTTGTTACGCAAATTTTATAGTGATGACTGATGAGATTTGTAGATTTGTACCAGTTGTGAAAACTGATTAATTTAGCTATATTAAGCAAGCTCTAATTGATTAACTGATTATCAATCAGTTTTGACTGAATAAAAATTCAGGTTCAGATGGTTTAAACCATCTTTTTACAACTCAAGAGATTTGAATAATGATTTTTTTATTGAAGGAAACTTTTCAATATGATTAATTATATAAAAAAGAGATATATTGGATTAAAAATTGCCCGCTAAACCAATAATATTATTAACTTCAAGCGTATATGTAATTATGTATTGTTAGTATATATTATATAAATTTAGAAACATCAGCCACAATTTCAAATCACGTAAATCACGTCCAGTAATATTGTATTATTCAAAAAAAGTAAATAATCATGAGACTATCATGAGTCATCTCTTTTGAAGAATTACTAATAATCAGTAACTATAGAAACAATATTGGAAAAAAAATTATGTTGATTATGACATAATTTTTATACTCTGACTATAACTAGAAAATTTATATAAAAGGCCTTTCCATCCACAAATTTTTTTAAAAAAAATTCTCTCTTCCTCTCTCCACAGCTGAGTAGCCAAAAAGACCATCAGTTTCTCCTTCTCTCCAGCAAAGTAAACAAAAAAAGCTATTCTTTATTTTATTCTCACTTTATATTTCCTAAGTAAAAGCTTTAATTTTTAGCAATGACTTAAACATAAACCAAAGAAACAAAGCTTTTTTTGCAGAAGTAGACATAACCTAGGCAAAGAAAGTGGGTTGGGAGCGTGGGTTCATGTGTGTAGGTGGTGGTGTTTTAACTTTGTTTTTTTTTTCGTCTTTTTTTTTATTAGGCCTATCTTCTCTCTGCCAAGATTTTTTTTTTATTCCCTTTTTTTCTTCTTTTTTTTTTTTATTTTTTTTTTTATTTCTCTTGTTCACTTGATAACCAACTCAAGCAGATAAAATCCTACTTTGTTATTAGTAAAGTCTGCTAATTTTAAAAGGAGAAATTAGCTATGTCTTCTTTACCATTAAATAAAAATTTAGCACACTATTAATAATTTTTCTTTCTCATAATAGGTAAATGTAGAGATTTACAATCACTGGTAGAATGAAAAAATTTCTTAAAGGAGTTTTTGAAAAAGAGTGCATATTAAATATTAAAAATGTGAAAATTTTTTTTTTTTTGATGTTTATACTTTATATTTGTTATCTGGTGGTGTTTAACTTCTTTTTTTTCATCATCTTTTTTTTTTAGGTTTATCTTCTCCCTGTTAAGGTCTTCTCTTTATTAGGCCTTCTCTTAGATCCTATTTTTACGTTTTCTTTTAGGTATGTGAGTTGGGAGTGTGGGGGTTTATTAGGGTATATTAAATTTTTTTGAATTAGTGGGAAATGGTAGGATGTATGAACTAGAATGTACATGAAATTTAATTAATGCATTATTTTGTGAAACTAAAACGCAATGAGGGCGTAAGTCTCTGTAATAAGTTGTATGTTTGTCACAAACGGGACAAGGTTGTAAGGCAGGTTGGCGTTTTTTAGGCGTTAATTCAGATCTAGTGTCTGCAGTTAGATTCGGTATGTTTGAATCCCATGTAATTGTCCATTCATTTGGTGGTCGATAATATACAAGGGAAGAATGGATGTTTAGAGAAGTAAAAGTAAATCGTAATGTAGGTTGTTGATTGAGAGGATTGAGAAGACGTCTATTATTGTTGGATATAGTGCCTTTGTTTTCTTGGCATTTGAATCATCCTGGAGTAGGTCCTTTAAATTTGTGTTGTTGATTTCGTTTCATGTATTGAGAAAATTTCCATCGATGGAGCAAAGTTGATCCACGAAAATGATACGTTTTTCTTTAATGAATTAATATATGTGTTTTTAAGGTCGTCCCTTAGGTAGGGTTCGGATCAAGGTATCCGTGTGAGGTATGTAATTATTATGAAATTCATTATATAGTTGAAGTTCTCGCGTGAGAAGTGATTATTGTTTGTTGGTAAGAGGTGATAAAAGAAAATCTTTTGGCGTAGGAAAATGTGGGAGCCAATATTCATATTAATTTTTTGTAGTCCTAGCATGGGCGTTTATATTATTATTTTTATTGCACTACATTGACTACAAGAATACTAATAACATGTATTTGTATTTGTCGGGATTTGGGCAGAACCCGTGTATAGGGTTCATGTATTTTGCCCATCACTAACCAAAATTATCTTTATGAAACTTTTATCGCAATTATCACAAGAGCCGTTATTCAGCTGTGACCTATAATACTATATATTTTTTTATTTTATTTTAAGCTTTGTAATCAAATAATCTTTTGGCAGTCAATCATTTTCATGCACTGTAAAATGGAATGGATTAAAAAGAAACCTAGGAAAGGGATATAAAATTAAGTTTGAGGAATCATATTGTAACCATGATTTTCACATGCGATAAAAGATCGGCATTTGACTGATATACTTGATATACATTCATTGTAAAATGAAAAGGTATAGTAGATCGGTCCATCTTGCAGATGAGATTTAATTTCAAAATGGGAAATATCATTAGATATATGTTAAATTGTTTAGCTTATATTTTACTGGTCATGTAGCAAATGAAATAAATGAAATATAAAATTAGAGTTTTAACATTACCATTCTATTTTATTTTATTTCTTTATTTTCCTATTTGAAAGATTAACAATACTGGATGCCTAATGTGATAAGCTTTTTCAGACTTATAAAAAAAACCAGCAGAATCAAAGCTCCTATAGTTATCCTTTCTAAATTTATTATAAAAAAACTCATCGATCATGAAACACATAATTCTTACTATTATATTATTTCTTATATTCTTCAAAACTTTTGCTATTAAATCTTCTGTAAATTGTGATGGTAAGTTATCTAAGAACGACTTTTATTTAGTATTTTTTCCAAGATATCAAATGTTAATAATCAATCTATCTTTCTTACGCTTATGCTTTTTATGGTAAGATTTTTATTTTGATCCTGAAGGCATTAAATTTCTAGCAAATCATCAGGTCGAATTAACAATAAATGGACCACACAAAGTAGAAAGTCCTGGTAGTTTCACATGTTGTTTGCAACAAGGGCCAATTATGGTTGGTAATTATAAGTTTTCTATAGGTGGCACCACGATTTATACTGTTTTATCTGATTTTACATGGGAAAATGGATACAATATGGGAAATATCTTAGATGCGAATAATTGTTTGAGTAAAAGTTGGGGTAAATACTTTGACTGTAATACAATTTATGAAGGGCAATATGAATACACGCGGGTTGACAATTATGATCCCACAAATTTTCCCTCTCCAGGAGAAACTATTGGGTTGGAAGTTACTGTATATGCTCATTGTTTTAATCAATGTGAAACAATTTGCTTAAAATCTTGTACGATTACCGCTGGCATTTCTTATGATCCTCCACCACCACCAAAATAAATGGATTCTTTTATTTTTATGATGTGTATTATTATTACATTTGCGCATTAGCTTATTTTAGTAATTTATATCAATACTTATAATAATATTATTTTTATAGATCTACAGTATAAGGATATGAATTTTTTAATTTTTTACCTGTTACTTTTGAAATAAGCAAAAATACATTTTATAAAATATGTATAAACAACGTGTAATTTAATTAATCATTTATGATGTAACATGTTAAGCAACCATTTTTTGTTTTATTGATGGTTTTTTATTAACATGCAGTGAAGTTATAAGAAATTGTAAAAGAATAGGAATAGGCTTGATTTTACTGATTTCGATTATTTTTTTTTTTTATAGGTTTTCAAGTAATAATAAAATTTTACTACTGTTAATGCAGTGCTTGAGCATTGATTATCCGCCGCTATCCTTTAAAAAGGATATCCGCGGATATTTGGATAAATCTGGATTGAACAAATAAAAAAATTTTGATAATCCAACAAGGATATCCAGATATTATCCGTTAGCGGTAATTGACAATCACTTAAAAAAGAAATTTTCGAATTGTGGAGAGGTTATGATCACCAAAATAATAGTAATTCTGGTCGTAATTATAAATTTGACCTGAATTACTACTCTGCAAGAATAATTTGTATTTCTGGATGAAACGGATACAAACTTTAATTAGAACCAATTAATGATCGAGTGTATTATACGTTTTATTCTGAGTACCAATAATTTTTAATTGTAAGCTCGAAGTACTCTAAATTTATTAATAAAGGGAAGAATTTTGGTGAGAAACAGATATTTTTAATATAAATTGTTTTAATGTAATGGCTTTTCTTTCTATTGCTTAATTTTGTAATATTTTGATCTCTCTGAACTTGTGACA